CCTCAAAGATGAAGCTCAAGTGACGTCGGAGCGTAGGGACTATCAAAAGAAGCTATTAATGCCAGTTTCTTTACGGCAGCGAATGTTGAATGATTTCCTTAAAGATGAAGAAGAGACTCTAGGCGACAGAGATGTGGTTCTACAGAAGGATGCTAAGGATATCATGGACCGAGCATGTGAGAATTGATGAGATCTTAGAGAGGTTGCAAACAAGGAAGAGGCTTATACTTAACATAAGGAAGAAGCAGCTGAAGTTTCTGGGACACATAATGAGGAAGGAGGGCCTAGAGAATCTGATACTCACGGGTCAAATAGAGGTAAAGAGAGACAAGGGAAAGCAGCTTGAGGAAGTGGATGACAGATTGTGGTCTGGGGAAGGAAACAGAAGAAAGGAGTTTGCTGAGAGCTGCAAGGGATAGAGTGGGGTGGAGAGGACATGGCACATAAAAAAAGAAAAATATTTAACATCGGAAAGAGACAGTTGAAATTCCTTGGTATTGTTTTCTATCACTTTTTCATTATTTCCAGAATTTTCCCTGTCTACTCGTTCGTCCTTTGTCTCGTTTTATTTGGAAGTATCTTATTCCTTAACGTCACTAGTGGTTGTCTTAGCATGTTCCATTTTCATTTTTTAATCTCATTCAGGAGGCACGGTGGAGTAATGGATAGCGGCTCGGATTGAGGAACCGGAGTGCAGAGTTCAAATTCCAGTCAAATCCATTACATTCACTTAGGTGCTAATACCCTTGGGGAAGGTATGAATCCTCCTCTTTCTCCCCAGCTATGGGTAAATAGCAGAACAGACCGGGTTCTGTAGCCTTAGATGGCAACTGGTTTACCACAGAAAGAAATGACAACCTACAGCGGGAAAAAATCTGCCTCGTCAGTCATGTATTGAAAGATACATGATCGCTTAAGCGATGGCGCATAACTGACTGAATCTAATTCAGGTTATAATCGTATATAACTTTTTTTTTGTATGTTTCCTTGCAACAACAGGAGTCTGTCGTATTGCAGTTTAAGTGTTGCTTTGATCTTTAGTTTTTTTTTGCAGTCGACAATGTTGAATTGCGTTTCTGAACCTTTTGTTGATAATTCCGTGATTATCCTGGTCTTTTGTGTCCCCTATCGATCTTCTCCATATCCCCAGGCGTCTTTGGTGTTCGAGATTTACCTTAACCCCCCAACGCTGGGTCATGTTGTGACACAAGGTTTGATTTTAACGTGGGAACTCTAGTGTTTCCACTCGGGCCGCTGGTCTTAGCTTGTCTAAGCTAGTCATAGTCGGTCATACCACCGCTACGGAACAGATGTCACGCAACGGTGGTTGGGAACGCAAGGGAGGAAAGAAGGTCTCTGGCACGGAACAGATACTACAACCGCAGCATCTACTCGGACGGGAAAAACCACCTTCTCCTCTGCCACTCCCTCCAGAAGAATTCGGAAGGAAAGTCTCAGGCGTTTTTGGTGCTCATGGGACCAAGTGTTGTTGATTGCTTTATCGTCTAATCGTTTGCTGTGCACCCCTGAACACCCGTTTCGTCCCGCTTGTTTCGAGGTCCTAGTCCAGACTTGCCAACTATTTCACCGTTTCGTTCTTTTCCAGATTTGGCATTCCGGTCTCTTATGATGTTAGTGATTTCTAGTGATTTACATAGGGCCTTGGTGTTGTCCAGAGAGTTGTAAATGTTATCGATTTCCTCCTCCGTAATCTGCGCTGTCGGTGTATATACAACAATGATTGCTATGTTAATATGCTTCCCTTTCATTTTAACTAACAGGATTCTCTCTGAGGTTTGGCAGTGTCCCAGAGTACATTTCTTTGTCATTATCTAGAATTAATCCTACTCTTATTTGATTTTCTTTTTCTGTGCCTGCATGTATTATTGTGTGTGTCACTTACGAAATCTCCATCAATTACTCACCTAGTTTCGCATACACATAGAATGTTGAAATTTCAATCGATAGCACGCATAAAAATACACGATATCCTTTCAAATATGGAGCTGAACACACAAGGAATGATGACGAAATTACAAATACGAAATAACGTAATACATTTACGTTTGTTGAAGATACCATGTTCATATAAATAAAGTTCATTGTTTTCGTGATCATCGTTTTTATTTTTCATGTGTTGGAAATTTTGTATATGTATTTAAATAATGCTAACGTTATTTACACCGGTGGATTAAGCCAACCAATCTTTTATTTTTGTTGTTGTTGTTGTTTTTCTATTACTTTTTCTCTCGTGAAAATATCCTCCTTTAGTCTTGACTACTGCAGCACAAATTTTTGGCATTCTTTGCAAAAGTTTCTCAAACTATTAGTTTTATAATTGATTCCATTGTTTTTTACAATAACTCTAAGAGGTCATTTTGATTTAATTTTCACTCTTAAGTCAACTTTATCTAGGTACCTTCACGAGATCGTAAAAACAATTAAAAATTAAAAAACAAACAAACATGATTTGCATTCCTCAAAGCCTTGTTTTTAACTATTGTAATTACTAAAGTGAACTCGATCGAATTTCTAGAGTTTTCATAAAATTAGTTTTGGAACGGGGGGGGGGTATAAATATAAAAAATATTTCTGCCATGACTTTAATAAAAAATATTTATAATAATTTCGATCATCTGTGAATAGTTTCTGAAAGTTCCATTAACATCCGACAATTATTTTTATTTTTACAAGATTTTCCAAATTAATGTTATACAAAAAAACGTGCTAAAAATTCTATGTTATTTTACTAGTTCCAGTGATACGAAGAGTGAAACAAGGATTTTTAAATGAAAATTCAGAATGTTCTTAAAAGAAGGAATTTAAAAAAAAAAAATAATAATTAAAATAAACTTTGATCTTTCTTCTTAATAATGACATAAACATTTAGACGATAACATTTTGTTTTCGTCAAGTTTGGCGTCTTTTTCATCATGCTATGCTTTTATTAGCGATTTCGTGGAGGTACCTAAATTTATCTAATGCTAATTCTTGGGAGCCGCTTCAAACTTGTGCGTGTATGTGAGAGAGAGGGGGGCGTCACCAAATCATTTGTTTTCCTACACCTATGAACTGGCGGGATTTGTGTGTTACCCTAGCTGGCTCCGCCAAAAGGGCCTTTTAAGCGGTGTCATATAAGTCTATAAGGATTCAAATGTAATCAAACGTAGATAACGAACACTATCACCGGCGCGGGTTTGTTTCCTTGGTCCTCTGTTGACTGAACTCTTGCACATACGCACATAAACCCACGTGTACCAGACACTCTTGTTACACGCAACAAAGCACATTTTAATAGCTTGTTTCAATGTCTTCTTTTATTTCAATTGTGTACAATGTATTTCATTTTATTTTCAATTGTGTACAATGTATTTCATTTTATTTTCACTTGTGTAGAATGTATTTCCTTTTATTTTCAATTGTGTACTTTTGTTGATAACTTGCATTAAATGCCGTTTTTTTTTTAATTCTTTGTTATTTATTTTTACCCTCACTCACATTAGTCCGCCAATATTATTTACGGGAGAAATGTACCAGGAGTATTAGATATTTACTAAGAAACATCCACACGCTCATAAAAAATATTGAATCCGGCAACAAAATAATAAAGGAAGTTATTTGAACATTTACCATGGAAATATTGATAAAGCAGCGACGGACTTGCAACGTTGTGTCTGTGTTGAAAGATCTTGTCTCACAAGACTACGGAACGATTTTAGAGTCTGTCAAGGCTGGATGGTGAGAACTGAATAGCTCCAACCCGGATATGGTAGCAATACGCCTTTCTTTTTTTTCTTTTTTTGTTGTTTAACTTAACTCTTTACAAGTCTCAGCTAAGACTCAAAGATTCAAAGGCATGAAGAATGCTGTCGTCAGCTTCTCAGAGTTCAAATCAAAGCATCGTTTGAAGTGCTGGGGAAATGAAACTGATTATCCCTTAGGCCATGGTCACTTGATACTATTGGTGTGAAGAGTTTACGAAAGAATTTAAAAACTGCATGAAGTCAGGAGTATCACGGCCATCTTTAGCGGTTCTCATTAGTGCCAAATACAAGTGCCATCTGGAATAGTCATATCGGTGGAAATTTGTGTATCAAATACAAGTACTGTCGGGGATAGTAATACTGGTGGGAATTCGTCTACCAAATATAAGTGCCGTCTGGAATAGTCATGCCGGTGGGAATTTTCGAGTTCATATAATAAGCGTGCCGGTAAAAAGTAACATTCGACCAGGAATTTTATATATGGTGTAAAGTTTAATTGAATGAAATTATTTAATCGTACCGGCACTTGTATTTGGTACACAATTGTATTTAACAAGACCTAGCTTAGTCTGAAAAAAAAAAGCAACGCTTGGAGGATTGAACTCTCAATCTCGGACGCTTGTAGGATCTAAAGCTCAATCCGAAACCCAAATGGAACTTTTATATTAGTGCCATCGCTAAAGTTGCTGGAAAAAATCTTCTGCTGCCATCTTTACAAGAGTCAGACCAGATAAAAAACGGTGTCTTCACTGTCCAGGCTTGATAGTTCATTGGGAGTTACGCAGCCTTGTAGGTGATGAACTATTATCCACCTTGTAACCCTTATTCCACAGATAAAACGTTGCAAGCCTCTCAGTCCTCCATCGTTATTACTATGGCAAATGTTCAAACGAGTTATGTTCCTTCATCCCAACAGCACAGTCCATCATAACTGAAACCCGTAATGTTCACATTCGCAAATAATCCCCATTCTCTTTGTGTTCCCATGGTAAGGAGTAAGTTCCACTTGGACAACTTGCTCAGAGCTGTTACTTTGTGGAACACTCCTGAGCGGATGCTTTCCTGACCACTATAATCTTGGCCTTTTAATATCCAGGGTCAACTAATATATATCTTGTGCATCCTTTCTCCTCCTTCCAGTAACCCACTATCTTGAGTGATTCTTAGGCCTTGTAATTACCTGTAAAACTAGCTTCAATGTTATTTATGCTTGTGTCATCTTTGATTTTCTTTCAGGTTATGTATGTCACGGCAACATCACCTTACCTTTTTATGTTGATTCTACTTATTAACGGAGCTCTCCTACCCGGTGCCAAGGAAGGATTTATTTATTACTTGAAACCAAATTTTGAGAGACTCAAAGAATTGGATGTAAGTTAATTTGACATTTTAAATAACAGCTTCATTTTATATAATTTTTTATTTAAAAAGTAATTTTCTTTATTAAATTTAAAAAAATGAATTTTCTTAGATAAAAAAAGAAATTTATTAAAACAAGTTATTTCAGGTATTTATTTTCATGAACGAATATAAGGAAAGATTTTAAAATTTTAAGACGTGATACTTTTGGCCTTCATTACTTGTACAAATGCGTCCTAGGTATGACGATAAACCATATCCGCGTCCTGGGTAAGACGCGAGAGTCGAATGATTATTCAAGGTCATAAATATTCAATAAATTTATTCAAGGTTATTCAAAGTCAACTCCGTCCTGGGTATGACGATAAACTACATCCAACAGCAAGGTCTCTGATCAGGCGTTTTTTGAGGAGCGTGGAACCACCTCTTAATTGCTGGTGGCCCCAGGTTCACCCTGACCTGGGGTGGTAGCATCTGTTAGGACCCCAACTATGCGCAAATAGTTAACTCTTCAATAGATTTTTGATTAAAAATTATTACCAGCAATATATTTTTGTAAATAATTATTACCAGCAATACATTTTTGAAGAAAAAATATTACCAGCAATAAATTAAAAAAAAAATATTACCAGCAATAAAAATCTTGTCGGCATTAAATAACCCATTGAGTTTTATATGCCGTAATACAAACGGAACCAAACTTCTACAAATAGGTTGAGTTTGTGGATTTTACGGAGTAACAACTCTAGAAATATTTAATGTCGAAATCCGTTTTTAGTTCTTATATTTATTATTAAACCTTGGTGGTATTTATATTTGAATCCCTTGATTGACATTGGACATATTTGTACTTTGTGTTCGTAGGCAGACGTTGGGTGCGTTTTCCCTTTGAGGCATAAAAATGTCGCCATTTTCTTTTCAACAGACCAACATTACCACACAACTACTACTTGCTTGTAAAATCTTCATGTGACGGCGTAATATCTTACCAAAGGCTCAATAGGATTATTTTGTAATATGAGTTTGATTTCATTATTTTCAATCTGTAAACAAAAAAATGTAACAATTTAGATATCTAGGTAGCGTATTAACAGAGGACGGAAACTGCAACACGGCGCAGTGGGATAGTGAAAGATGCCTTTCGAAAGCTGAGCAAAGTATTAAGAAACAGAAAGATATTCTTAGAAACAAAGAAAACGGTACTGATTATTATGCATCAACAGTCGTCCTATATGGCAGAAAATGCTGGACAAACATCTCACAGATGAAGAAGAGACTTGAAGCAATAGTAATGTGTCTACAGAAGGAAACTGAGAATACCATAGAACTAAGATGCGAGCAACAATGAAATTCTAGAGACAATGACAACAGAAAGGACACATGCATAATATCAGGAAGCATTCAACATATAATGAGGAAAGAGGGTTTAGTAAATTTGATAGTCCCAGGAGAGATTGAAAGCATGAGGGCCAAAGGGAGGCAACGCACAACTTCGTGAGCTTGAGCAAATGAATGACGGAGCAAAGTTTGACAGAGATGGCAAAAAGACAAAAGTTATAAAGAGCAACAAAAGAGAAAATTGTGGAGAACCATGATCGCCAACGTCCTGATGGGGACACGGCACACAGAAGACGTATGTATGCTTGTTATTTTCTACAAGTGATGCGTTTTACCGCCCGTTGAACCAAAGTCATGTGTATTTCATTAACTGATTCACAAATTTGAACTCACGACACCATATTTTTTTTCGAACCAACTCTTATTATCCACTAAACCACTGTTCTGAATCGAACGGTGTGTTTTTGGAGTCCTTAACTCCAATGCATGTCAGTTTAGCCTTTGTTACTCTTTGAATAGATACACATAAAGATCGCCGGGAGCTACACAGCAAAAATGTTTTGTCTGTAATAATATCTCTAACAAATAAAATTTAAACAGTATATTTAGGCATTTTTCGTTTAAAATTAATATATCCCATACCTGTAACATATGAAGCTATATTCATTTCAAACTTTGAACCAACCAACAGCAATATAAACGCTACACGGCCTGTCGCTTGACCTTTCAACTTTCTTTGAAAACGGTCAATGATGGGCACAGAACAGAATACATTACTTCGGCATGTTTTCCATCTGAAATCAAACGTCTTATTTGTCTTATACGATATCAAGAGACTACACAAACATTCACTGTCTACTCTGTTTAATAAAACATGTTTAGATGAATAAGATGACAATAGCTGTTCACGGCGATATAAGGAGAGTGAGAGCTGCGGTTTCAGCACCCCTTCATATTTTTGCCGAGATTAAAAGCTGAACAGAAGATTAACTTTAGTATCTGTCTATAATTTCTGAGATGATGTATTATGTACATTATTTACATTATTCAGACTATTGTCCTAATCTTTGTCGCCATATTTATCACAACGTTAACTTAACGATTAACTTTGTCTCCTTGGCCCCAATCTGTAACAATGCTATGAGCTGTGTTATTTGTCGAAAAATGATAACCGCCATTAATTTTTAAAATAATCAGAAAACGTTTTTTTCCGATTATTTTTCTTTTTTCGAAACTTTAACTTCTAAAACTTATGTCGGCCATATATTTTGTAGGCAAGAGGGACAGAGGAAAGCAATGCATAACCTACCTGAAGAGCTTGTGTAAACGGTCGGCAGAACAGGGATTAGGAGAGATAATTAAAATGCAAAACTTACTAAGAGCTACAAAGGACAGGAAGTTGTGGGGAGCTATGTACATGAAGAGACAATTGAAATTTCTAATGAAGGCTTCGAGCATTTACAGGACATAATGAAGACAAGAGGGGACAACGGAAATCAGTGCATAACCTACCTGAAGAGATTGTGTAAATGGTTGACAGAACAAGAATTAGGAGTGATAGACAGAAGACAAATTTTATTAAAGGCTACAAAGAACAGGAAGTTGTGGAAGTTGTTCGCCAATATCCTGAAGAGACACAATACATAAAAAAGCGTATTTAAAACTTAACATCTGATTCAGCCTCAGATTTATTTATTTTTTTTTTGTAGTGCGTTATCAAGTAGGTTGAATACAATTTCCAAATCACAATTTTTATCCCAAAAGAACAAATATTGTTTAAACAATTTTATTGCAGCAAAATAATTTTTGTGTTGTGTTTAAAATTATTTTTCTTGCTTTGCTGTTTCACTAAGTTGTCTTGCTTTGCTGTTTCACTAAGTTGTCTTGCTTTGCTGTTTCACTAGGTTCTCTTGCTTTGCTGTTTCACTAGGTTCTCTTGCTTTGCTGTTTCACTAGGTTCTCTTGCTTTGCTGTTTCACTAGGTTCTCTTGCTTTGCTGTTTCACTAAGTTGTCTTGCTTTGCTATTTCACTAAGTTCTCTTTACTCATTTTACAGGTATGGGTAGATGCCGGAACGCAAATCTTTTTTTCGTATTCAATCTCCCTCGGTGCCCTTACAGCCCTGGGAAGCTACAATCTTTTCAAACATAACTCTTACAGGTAAATCTACACAAACGGAATGTTCCAGGTAAACATTTTCCATTTTTTATTTTAATTATTAAGGTTTGGATGTTTTTTGTTGTTTTTTTTTACAAGATCGATTTACCTGATTATTAATTAAAAGGAAAAATTGTCGGAAACTAAGGTATAATGGTAAGGCTTGGAATGATGGGATACCAAAAATTATTTTCTTCTTTTTTCAGTAGATATACATGTGAAATGCTAATTTACAATCTCTCTCTCTCTCACACACACACACATATATATATATATATATATATATATATATATATATATATATATATATATATATATATATATAAAAATAGTTTTACAAAATTTGGATGCGGATTTCTCACACTAAAACAAGGACAAAAGTTCATATAAATATATGTCCTCAAATCCTTTGTTTTCTAGTTAAGTTTAAAGAAAGTCTACGATAGATGGCATTGTGTTGTCATGTAGACTAGGTTACATTTGTCATTCGTGTACATTTGTGGCTAGTCTGTCTTCAACGTTTAGTCTGTGTAATAGCGAGTTAACTGTTCTGTTTAACAATGGCAGGATATTCATATCGTGAGCAGGTAGATATGATTTTTACATGCGGCTGCGCGAATGGTTGTGTGCGCGAGGTTGCACGGCTGTATCAGATTGCGTTTTCAGACCGAAGACAGCCGAGTCACTCAACCTTTGCTGCTGTTTATCGTCACGTTGCTGAGACAGAATCCATGGTACCACAAACTATGGATCGACGAAGACCTAAATCCGCTCGTATAACTGACAACGAAGAACACATTCTACAAGCTGTCATAGACGATCCCGGTATGAGAACACGCCAAGTGGCTCTAGCATGTCGTACATCCCATAGTACCGCATGGAGGGTACTTCAAGAACAGCCCCTGTATCCGTAACATTTGCAAAGTTTGCAGGGTCTTTCGCCCTCTGATCACTCACCACGGGAGAACTTTTGCCGATTGTTTATTGCATAAACTGCCGATACGTTGTTTGTCTTTTCAATCTTGTTTACGGAAGAGGCAACATTTACAAGAGATTTAATAACAAATTTACACAATCAAAATTTGTGGACTGATCGGAATCCCCATGGTGCAATACAGGCTACAAATATCAATTTACGGTCAATATTTGGGCTGGAATTGTAGGTGACTGTCTGGTAGGTCCATATGTTCTCCAACACGTCTTACAGCCAGTCCTGGGTATGACGATAAACTACATCCGCGTCATGAGTAAGACGATAAACATCGTCCAACAGCAAGGTCTCTGATCAGGAGGTTTTGAGGAGCGTGGAACCACCTCTTAATTGCTGGTGTTCCCAGGTACCCCCTAACCCGGGGCGATAGCACCTGTTAGGGTCAAAGCTATGGGCAAATAGTTGACCCCGAAACTGGGGTAAAAACATTATGAAAGTGTAAAAATAAATTTTTAATACCAGAAATACTTTGTAAAAAAATTATTACCAGCAATAAATTTTTGAAGAAAAACCATTTTGAAAAAATACAACCAGCTATACATTTTTGAGGAAAGAATTTATCCAGCAATACTTTTTTGAAAAAAATTATTACCAGCAATACTTTTTTTGAAAAAGAAATATTACCAGCAATACATTTTTGACAAAACAAAATATTACCAGCAATACATTTTGGAAAAAAAATATTACCAGCAAAAAACTTTTGGTAGCATTAAATAACCCATTGCCGTAAAACAAAACAAACCAAACCAAACGTCTTACACCAGCTGTCTACAGGGACTTTATTTCGAACACACTCCCAGACCTGCCAAAAGATGTACCCCTGCTAATACAAAGATGCATGTGCTTCTATGGTTCCAGCAAATTTTTGTCACGTTGTTCGCGATGCACTGGCTGACATCTACCATGAAAGATCGATGAGTAGGGGAGGACCGGTTTCTATGACCTGAACGTTCTTCCGACCTCAGTTCTTTGGATTTTTATCTGTGGAGCCACCTTAGTTTATGCAGCACCTCATCAATGTGGCATCGGGACCCGCGAATCCATTCAACACCTTGAAAAGTTCCACCAGTCAATAATCCGACGGGTGCATGCGTGTGTAGAAAAAAGGGGAGGACATTTTGAACATTTGTTATAAGTTGGTGTGTTGAGGTACAACAGTCTTTTGAAGATACGTTTATATGAACATTTTACCTTGTTTTGGGGTCGGGAACCTCCCCTCAGTGTGTGTAAAAGTATTTTGATACACCCTGCATATATATATATATGTGTGTGTGTGTATGCAGGAACGGTGCAAGAGTCTCATGCCATCTGCCGGATCTATGATACGGGGGCCCCACTCTACTACATCTCAGTTTTTATAAGTTGGTATTCATATAAAATACAAATTTTATTGTCACCTAATTATGTTCTGCAATGCATCATATGCAATACAGGTGAACAATTCAAAGAGAAAAATTGAAAATAAATGCAATGTGCTTAAATACATATTAGTCCATCTTAAATAATTCAACTGTGTATTGCGGGACATTTTAAGATCAACGTGCGATTTTTCTTGTTAAATAATTGAATAATTTTAACTTATTCAACATTATGGATAAAAAATAGTGAATTTTATATAGTGTTTTTTTTTCAAGAGCATAAGTAAAACAAATTCAAGAAATGTACGAAAAAAAACCAAAAAACAGAATGATGTCAAAATTATTTTTCATGCTTTAATAGTCAGTTGTAGTTAGTTTAACTTGTAACGTATACAAACGTAGAAAAAAGCAAATGTTGATAAGATAGAGAAGGTCATAAAGCACTACCCGAAGCCGGCTTACACTCCAGTAGGATGTAGTACGCGCCGGGCCTTATATATATATATGTGTGTGTGTGTATACATATGTGTTTGTATGTATGTATTTGTGTGTGTTAATAGAATTTTAAGTCATACAAGTTAAACCCAATCTGGCAAAAATAGTGTAGGTACTATATTCATTGCGTATTTACCTGCAAACAAAAATGGCTACCTTTGCCCATTAACGTCGATCGTAAAACCCAGCATTAATAAAAATTAAATGCCAACATTATGAAAATAAAAAAATCTAGCATAAACTATAAAAATAAAAACATATCCGTTGTTACCTATAAAAATATCTGACATTAGTTGTAAAAAAAAAAAACAAAAAAAACATGGTTTGTTCTCGGAGAGATTTATACCATTAAGTCATACACCAAAATTATACATACATATTTACATGTGTCCCACGCAGAGAAAAAATATAACACGTATATGTAACAACAAGCAGAGTGAAAGGAGAACGAAAAGATAGTCTCACGTGTAATAATTCCCAACGACAATCTTAGCTACTGGAGATTCTTCTGTGTTTCTAGAGAAACCACATTTCGAGCGGGTCGGATATATCTGTCCTAAGCGAGAAAATTTTCCGCGAACAGGAAACTGCGAGTCTTTGATTTTTCCCAAATTGAGGACTACCAGCCAGAGATGGTTTCTCTCATATCTGGGGAATATATATTCCCAAAGGGAAACGGTGCCATGTTCTTCCAAGCTGTGCCATCTGTTGGGGAGAGGCAGATTTATCCTCAGCCAGGGCTAAAAAAAAAAAAGCAAACGCTCGGTTAGACTCGTGTAAACCGACTGAAGGACTGTCGCTTTCGTCACTGTATGAAGTGACGGTACTAAGTGGCTCTCGCGTGACTCACGTGACTTCACCTTCATCAAAAGGGAGATGATTGTTTTTTTTTTTTTTTCATCCCTACAATATGTTAAAGGGACAAAATAGTGCTTGTTTTATTGAATGCGTGATCTAGACCTATGAATCTAGCGTAAGACTTTTATTGCAGTCCGGACGTGACACTTTGAATGTAGACGTTTAAGAGAATCAGTAGAAATGACTAGTTAAAGAAATAAGGCTTCCTTGAGGTCCTGACCCGAAAGAAAGCTAACAAATTATTTCTTCTTGACAAGTAAAGTATTTACACTTTGCTCTGTTTGTGGTTGTGCGTTTTCAAATGAAACGCGTATCGACGTAATCTCGTTTATTGTGTCATTCGTCTACACCTCGTATCAAAAATGCTGAATCTGTCAGCACTGAGTTCGAAGAACGCCTGAAAATATCGAAATATTTGTTACGATATTTTCAGGCGTTCTTCGAACTCAGTGCTGACAGATTCAGCATTTTTGATACGAGGTGTAGACGTGTTTTAGTAAATGTCTAATGCGCCTGGTACATTTGTCCTGCAAACAAAATTGGCGGACTCATGTGAGCCCGGGAAAAAATAAGAATTGGGATTAAAGTAAAACAAGTGTTAATAAATATATTACAAAAAGGAAAAATGAGAAATTTAATTAAATGCGAATAGTTCAAAGTAACCGTCAATATCTGTCTCAAGTATTTACATGCTGACAGAGCGAGATGAGGACGTCTCGTTACTATCATAGTTACCAAACAAAAGAGTGAGATTCTTTCAAATCTCAAGCCGCCTGTAACTATCGTCAGCGGGCGGTAATTCTATGTCTCGCCGCCTGTGATTATCATCAGCGGAAGTGGGGTGGGCGTTAATCCAGCAAACTCTTTCATAATTCGGTTTCGAAATCTAAAAGACACGTCCGGAAATTTAGAAACCTGCTTCATGTGGAATATTTTACGAATGGTGGTATACGCGCTACGTGATATTGACGACGTCTTATTCTGTGCCATCAGGACATAAGCTAGCATGGCTCTCCACAACTTCCTATTTTTTGTGACCCCCTTAGCAGATTTTTCTCCCTTTGCTAAGGCTCCCGCCATCCATTCACTCAAGCTTGTCAGGTAAGTGGCTCGCTGCCTTCTCCTTTTTCACTTGCCCTCAATATGCCCCGTGAAGATCAATTTTTTTCAATCCCACCCTCCCCATCATGTGTCCAAGAAATTTAAGCTATCATTTCCTGATTCTGATCATTTTTCAGAAGTCTCCGTATCCTTATGTAGAACCACATTTCTGCAACGACCAGTTTTCTCTTCCTCCGTGG